CACTGATAAGAACAAAGCTTTTGCTAGTTTTCATCTTCATCTAAAAATACGTGAAATAAAGCTAAGAAAAATCTGGAGACTTTTTATTATAGATTGAAACATATTTTCCTTCGATATGTTCAGGTAGAGTCAGACGAAAGTGTATTGTTTTGCATATGAGAGCAGGAAGTGTGATATAGACTTTTGCATTGACAGACGCTTTGAATTATTATACAGGATGTTCCAATTTTTTCGGATCAAACTTTGTCGGTATGCTTTATGGATATAAATAAGAGAAAAATGTTATATAAACATAGATCGTTTGAAGCTTTGTTAAAAAGTTATAGTAATAATAATAATATGAAAGAAATGGTAACGAATTTGAGGTTACTGTGATACAAGACAAGAATGGCACTGGCAAAAGTTAAACTCAACATTTTCAATGATCTCAGATCGTAAATACAGCTTGCATAAGAAGGTTAGATGTACACATTGCTGATCTGTTCCTATTTTGTATCATAACCTAACATCCGTTACTATTTCCTTTATTACTTCGTAATAAAGCTTCACACGACCTATGTTTATATAACATTTTTCTCTCACTCATACCCATAGAACATACTGACAAAGTTTTACTAAGTTTGGTTCGAAAAAATTAGGACACCCTGTATATCACACGAGAACGAAAGGAGGATATTAAAAAAAGGCCAATTTTGGTATACGGCTGGAACGAAAAATTTTTTTACAGCATGATTCTACGCACCCTAAGGAAGAAAAAATGTAATTGCCATTTTTCCCGGAAGTGATGACCATACTTCTAACTTATATTCCGTCTCGTTTTCTTCGGACGATGGTCTGTTCGTAAATTAACCACTTAGAAACTCATACTGAGTATTATTTACAAAGATTGTTGTACAATAGTGTTTAATAAAAACTAAAAATAATGAAAAATAATTGTTCTAAGCAATCAGAAACCAATAATTATTTACTCTAGAAGTGATAAAAGTTATAATAAACTATCGTAAATATAATAAAATAATCGTCATGACAGGAATACGTTTTTTCCTGACTGTTTTTACTCGCACGAGAGTTCTGTCAAGAATACGAAACTGCTTCGTGTTTACAAAGCAACTGTTTATTCGAGTCGTAACTTTCAGAGAGTTGAGCGATGCTCTTAGACAGTCACTCTCAGACGCAGTGTCCACTCGCGAGTAACTCGCGATAGTTTTACTCTCAAAAGGACAGTGTAACGTTTTGAATTTAAAAGGGGCGCGTCTTTTTACCGCGATCGGCGACCGCGCATGCGTCCGCCGAGCGGCGATCGCGCATGCGTCGAACGAAAATAAGTATGGCGTATTGTATTGTATTAAGACCATGTGCGTGGCGTTTATTTTCGGTTTTGCCAATAAAAGTAATATAAAATCAGAAAATTCTTTTCTCGCTAACTCTTTTCTGTGCGCGAACAGACAGCTAGCTTATGTTTATCTCGCAAGAAATATCACGAGTTCTAAAAAGTTAAGGGCTACAATTTTTCCGAACAAATACATCGAACAACGCGTTTTCGATTATACGCGGATTTCCAATCAATTTACGTACTTAGCATATTCGTTCGTGTGAATTAAGTGCCGCTGCATACAAGAATCTAGTGCACCGAATTCAAGTACACAACGAATAGCTCAGCTTGGGAGAAAAATCAAACGAAAAGCGTGTCTCTGCGAGCTACGCAGTTACAGTTTCACGGTATGTGTATGCGTGAATAATATGTACATATGTATATACGTACACAATCGAACGATGGAGTTAATTGAAAATAGAGGAGAGCCTACGTATAGCTAATTAGATTAATTACTGCAACAATTTCGTTTTATCGTATCCTAAGTTTATTTTTCTTGTAATAAGATGTGTTATAGCTGTGAAACAACAACAAATAATTTTTTTTACTGTTGTCTCCTAGAGACATATACATATTCTATCCTTCTCTGGAAAAACACTGTCTCTTAGTAAACAACTAAGTCCTTACACACGACCTACTTCGTTTGTTATTATTCTAACGACAATATACGACAATTGACACGCAGTGCAGATGATCAGACTCAGTTTTCCGTAAAAACCGGGAGATGGCTCCCAACTACGCGGATTTCCATCTATGCGGACAGTCGACATCTCTAACCTTCATGTTTACATATATGAAGTAATTAATATTTTTTAAATAAATAATCATTACAAGTTCGAGGCAAGTACAAATACTTGATTATATCAATTTTACTAATATATGAAAATTAAAAAATTAAATCATGTGTTAATGTTATCGATCGGTAGCGTGCGTTTAACGCGAGAAAAGATGAGAGTCCCGGCCGCAACGCGTGTTATTACACGGCCACACAGAGCGTTCACTGTCGCGATTTACCGTCCCGAAACGGTTAAAATGTATTACAAAAGGGCTGTCCTCGCGATACGTATCCGCCGTGTTCCAGTAATTAGCCATAACTCGCGTTTATCGTACGCCCAGTGTGATGAGATGGTCCGCCCAACGGTAGCGTCGTCGTCATTTTCTTTCGGGATCGACGACGGCTCGTTCAATAAATTCCGCGACTCCTCTCGGGCTCTCGGTAACGAGGCGTACGAGAATCAGCCCACTTTAATTAGAGTATCCGATTATTTATTTGCGAATTCCACGATCGGTGCGCGTCGAGTGAAAACGTCTCTCTGCAAACCGATCCGGTCGTGGAATGCGCATGGACGCGCGGCATTTAATTAACAGTCGCGCCGTTTTTCCGGCACCGGCGGAATTTATTCCGCGTTCGTAACGGTTCTAAGAAAAACCACCTTCTTCTCCTTCTTCATTCCGCAGTTACTGTATCTCTCTAAGCTTGTAATTACTATTATTTTAATTAGCCCTAGCGATGCTCGATATTACGTTCACGAGCGTCGCGCCGTTCGCCAATCTTCGCTGATAAAGTCTTCATCTAATTGGACGAATTGTTCGACCAGATAATCCACTCACGCGACACGATACACCCAGGTTGTGCTCATTTGCGCTTTATTTCCTGATTGGTACTCCGCGTTGGTAATACGCGGCGTATCTACCAGAGTTGCGTTTACGCTGCCGGATCAAGAAGAGGATTTGCTCGTTGCTTTGGGTACTTGGACGCGATGGTATATGACGGTATTACTATTGGTTGCCGGCGTTATCTTGATTATCAGCCTCGTTCAGGATTGTAGATACAGGTTGGCTAGCTCTGGCTACCTGGGATATGAAGAGATTGAACAGGGGAGAGGGGACGACGAGATGTTTCGAGCGTGAGAGGGATGATCGAGTGCTTGGAGATTTAATACCAGCATGGTTTTCTGTCCCTTTTTTTCTCTTCGCGTTAGGGGAAAAGGAGATTTACATGATCGTATTTGTTGCGTTAATGGTTTGTGGTATTTCCGGTTTCGTAACTCTGTGCCGGTATCAGTTTAAGTTCCATTAACCCTTTCGCGATGGAATTATTATTTCTTTTTTTTTCAGAATTTCTCATTTATCCACTGAGATGAATTGTTTTTTGTGCGTCCTATTGGTCACGAAAGGGTTGATTTTATGATGTTTTTAATTAACGAAAGATGATGTGTCTTTTTTTTTGTGTTAGGCTGATTTGTATGATCGTACTCGTTGCGTTAATGGTTCGTGCTCTATTTCCGGTTCGCAAATCGAGGCGGTTTCAGTTTAGACTTCATTAACCCTTTCGCGATTGAATTACTTTTTTTTCTCAGGAATTTGTTATTTAACTATCGATCGCGAGTGCAATGGATGCTAAATTGAGATCAATTTTTTTCCAGCGGTTTCGAAAGGGTTCACTTTATGATGTCTTTAAATAGTGAAAGATAATTTAACTTTTTTTGTGTCTGGGGAAAGGAGACTTTTATATCATTGTACTCGTTGCGTTAATGGTTCGTTGGTATTTCCCGTTCAGTTTAGATTTCATTTCATTAATGAAATTGTGAACGTAAATTGCGAATGGTGAAATTACTTTATTTTCTTTTACTTGTAATTTCGTCCAAGTTCTTCCTGCACGAATCACGTCATTCAGTACGATTACTATATCTTGTCTGGAATTCTGAACTGCTTTTAGTGTTAGAAAATGTTGGTTGTTTTATTGATACCATCCTATAAAATATTAATGTATCGTATTCATTGTATTTATTGGAATAGAATTGTAATTCTGTTTCTTTTTTTTTTTTTTAATTTAAACCCTCGTTAGTTGGATTCCAAATAGTTTGGTTTCATTTCGAATCTCATTGCTTAGATCAAACTTCTGTTCTTAATAACTTCGATTTTACTCTTTAACTGTTATCTTTGGTGATCTATGATACTGTTTGGCAAAATGGTTAGAAATTCGAAGAGCCGACAGTTTATCGCAAATTTACATTTCTACCTTTTAGTCCAACTACTTTTATACCATACAAATTTTCACCTGTGCCTAGAACTGAAATAGAACACCAGAAATGCACTTTTTCATAAAAGATGTTCATTGAATAAATGACTACAACCTAAATTACTAAAATAACTTTTAAACATTACACCGTCTTTTCGCAGTCCATATTTCGACAATTAGAGTATACACTTGAACTTCCTGTTATTTATGAAAAGTTTCTGGACACGCGACAACTGGCTAATATTTCTCTACTTGTCGTTGAAAGTTTCACGGGTTTCCCGAGTATTTGACGAGGAAAACAGGAAATATCAGCGGAAACGACGTTGTTTTAAAGTTCGCAAGTAGCGGGGTCAGTGTCCTTATCCAGACCGGAACGCCTGAAATATGCAGGATCCTGCCGAGTGACTGATACGTGTCATGGCTGCCTTTTCATTTATTCATTCCATCTTCCCGTCACAGTCGATTTTCCGTCAGTCACGACAGACTTCGCGATGCTATTTTAGAGATCGAACTGTCCGTCCGATTACACGATTCTTGCATTCCCCGAACGACCAGGACGAAGGATATTCGACATTTCTGACCTCGAACTGTCTCTTTCTTTTCCAGAATGGAGACTTTCCAAGAAGCCGGCGTTCAGATGTTGAAAGAGTTCAGAGCGCTTCTTCAGCATTCGCCGCTGCCACTTCCTGGGACGCGGCTTCTTCAACTATTGGCGCTGAATATGTTCGCCATCGAGTCGACGCAGCTGAAGGGTAAGTCGTCGTCATTTTTTCTCCGCATGTTTATTTCATCTCCACCCGCATTGCTCCTTCGTCACGAATCGCGAGACGTGACGTGTGCGAAGAGGAAAACGATATTTTTTCGTTGGTTTGAGCCGAAAATGGGACGGGAAGGTTTACGAGCCGCGATTATTGCAGCGGAATTATTCATGCAGGAATTGCGCGTGAATTATGCAATGTTGGGATAAAATCGATATATTTGCTGGATCGTGGGTGGAATTTTAACGAGTTTGTGTATAGTAGAGTTCAGAGAGTTTTGAAGAAAAACTAAGAAATTTTTGATTTTCAGATTTAAGAAGGTTTAAATTTTGGGTGTGTGAAAATAGTTGATTTAAAAGGTTGCAGTATGTGGGGCTACTAAACATATGAACATTATATTCTTGTCACTTTAATCTATTTTTGAATACTAAGAGTATTCTTTTCTATATCGACGATACACATGCTGGAAACGTGTTAATAGCAGTGAGAATAACTGGCCTCTTCAAAAATTAACTTCATTGGGTCACTTCGAGAAATATTTCTGTCTCAATTACAAGAATATGTGATAAGCTTTCTGGCACTTTCTGACAAACTTTATGTCTCAGACAGTACAGCTGAATAATTCGATAGCAAAGTGGACGTGAAATATTTTTATAAATATAAATTCGACGTGAAATATTTTTAAACACAATTACCTACGGAATAAAAGGAATTTATAGAAACCGTAGCAAAGTGTTTTAAGTATTTCCAAGAAATCACTGAAAGTTCCTCGAAAGAATGAGCGTTACTTACCAAGACTTCCATCAAGTCACTATTCCTTAAAATGTGATTATTTAAATTTCAAGCTATCCCAAAACGCTTGCTTTTCTTCTTCAACGTTTAAAGAAAACCATAACACCAGCAATTCACTTAAAGTTCCTCTAGAGAATCAAAGAAAATTGCCATGACTTTTATTAAGTGAATAAGACGATTCTTTAAAATTTTAACCTTTAAATTTCAAGCTCTCCCAAAACGCTTGCTTTTCTTCCTGAACGCCTAAAAAGAGACGTTACAATTCCCAAGAAACACGGCAGCCCCGTGAATGCTCTTAATCCTCCTTACGGAGACCTCTCTTACCCACGCGTTGCAATCACCAGCTAACGGGGCCCGCAAATCGAAATACCATGCCGAATGGCTGCCGTTCTTCTCCAAACGTCGGTTGCTCATCCGCCAAAAGTATTTCTCACGTCGTTAGCCTAACACCGCCGTCTAATCCTGCCATTATATCCGTCCTTGTAGAGACGTGCCACCGGAGAAATCCCCGTTTTCACCGTGAAAGCAATTGAACTTAGGGCAGAAAAAAAAAAACGGGCATAGCCACGGTAGGAGGATGGTCGCGAGAGGAGCGCGGATAGATCGATAAAAGGCGCAGTCCCCGCGGGATAGGTCGGCACTTGTGTGGAAGGAGAAGAAGAAAGTTGTTACGACAACGTTGTAACCGGCACTTTAGATCGAATCTCTTTCACGGCCACGGCCGTCTCTCGTTATTTAATGTTGCTCTACGTAGCGAGGCTGCGTCTGCTCTGTGGCTTTATTGTTTCACGTCGTTCTGTCGGCGCTTGGCAGCGTGAACGGCCGCAATAAATCAGAATAACGACTACGCCTGCTGCCAAAAGCCATTCGAATTCAATCCGACGTATCGTCCGCGGAGATCTTTTCGTTTTCAGACGCTACGCTGATACAAACTGCTACGTCCTACCCTGGTGCCTCGTACATCAAAGCCGGTTTATCGAATCGGAGCATCGAACGGGAACCCCCGTGAGTGTTCGTTTCACCACCGGCTTCGACCACCGTTTCTTTCTATTTTTTTTTCTTTTCTCCGCCATCGAACGCGACGATTCCTGTTTCATTAGCGTTCTGCGCGAAATGGCGTAATCGGAGCGATTGTGATGACGTTTCCATCAGTCCTCTCTTGACGTTGTTATCCAGGAATTAATTGCTCGTACCACCTGTTTCCGCTTTTTTGCGTGGATTTGACAGTGGGACGACGCCAGCTTACCGCGCGATTCGATTTTATGGCTTTTCGATTAATCGCCAACTCTGTTGGTGCTCGCGACTCGTTAAGGGGTTTTCACTGGGAATTATGCGGCGGTTGAAATTGTTTTGTGTTCGCCGGAGGATGATGTGTCGAGGCTTTTAGCCATTTTGACGAGGCGTGTTGTTGAATGTGGTTTGGGTGAAGTGTGCTCGGAGTAATGAGATGCATTAGTAGATTTATGATTTTGTTGGGGTTATTAAGATGCCGGGATAAAGAAAATACGTTTGCAATAACGATTAATTTATGATCTAATAAAAAATCACATTTTTCGATGTAATAAAATAAAAAAAACATTCTTTATGAAAACTTCCAACGAATGTAAAATTAACAGGAAATAGTGAAAAACACTATTTCAAAATAATTATCCCGTAAATACTATTTTGGTGTCAGTGTCAATTTTGATCATTTGCATATATTAAATTTATACATTCTTTTCCATATTCGAAAATATACATTAATAAGAAAAGAATTTGCCTTTAGAGAACTAGAATTTCTAGGAAAAAAAAAAAAAAATAAATTC